AGCAGTGTAGCGTAGTCTCCTAATTTTTTCTCGTCAAACTGTTGGAATTTTACAAAGATAACTGTCTTTCTCTTTTTGTAGGTTTACTCCTGATTTTGTGCAGCGAAGAGGTTTGAGCGCTGCAGAACTCAGCGCGGTTGAAGCTATACATCGTGCTGTTGAATTTAATCCACATGTTCCTCAATATTTGTTAGAGTTGAAACCGTTAATTTTACCCCCGGAACACTTGCTAAAGCGTGGGGATTCTGAGGCAGTTGCTTACGCTTTTTGGCATTTACAACATTGGAAGCGTATCGAAGGAGCTTTACCACTACTTCAGTGCACTTGGGAAGGAAGTAAGAATGTCCTTTCTTTAAATGTTTCTTTTGATGGTTTTTTAATTTGTTGATTTTAGAAAGTTGTAAAGAAATGTCAAGAAGTTTATTTTCAGCTTTTCGCATGATTCCAAAACCTCTAGAAAAGGGCCACCTGTTCTATCCGTACCCTGCATGTACAGAAGCAGCGGATAGGGAGTTGTTACCTAGTTAGTACTTTCACTTGTATTTTTGAGCGTTAATTTTTTTGGACTTTACTGCTTCTACTTATTCTTATTCGTAACTTACAATTTTTAAGGTTGGCATGAAGTATCTGTCTACCCGAAAAGAGATATGCCAGTTTTAAAAATTTTCGCTGCGTTAACATTTTTAACGACGGCATTTTTAGCTCTTGCTGCGCACTTATATCCTAAGGTCAATTCCTTAGTTTCATTTCTTGTTTCTTCTTTTGTTTAATGACTGTCAGGCTTTTTAGGATGTTTTGAAAAGTGTTTTTTAAGGAAGTTTTGGAAGTCTTAACTTTTGTTGGTGAAGCACTGGCGACTGGAGTGAAGAAACTGCAAGATTTCATTCCAGATAACATCCTTAATCTAATTGCTTCAAGACCGGTCTTGCCTCCCACTAATGAACCAGTTCACTGAACTTGATTCGTAGCAGATTTCCTTGTAATAAGTAGACTTCTTCGCCACAAAATGTTTTTGATGTTGTTAAATGTGTATATTATAGTACGTATGCTTGAATATCAGTTACAAATAGTATATAGCTGAATAGCCATTTTTTTCTGTATGATAGATATTAAAAATAAGGAATAATGTTTTTCATGTAGTCGATTAACTTTCTGTACCTAATTGTCAACTCGTTTCAAAACTAATGATTTTAGCGTTTTCGGTTCAATTGTTTTGGTGCCGTTCTGTTTTTACCATTGCTTCTGATTTTCGTAACCGCTAGCGGGTCCTCTGTTTACCTATTCGTGATTCTCATTGAGCAACCCTCTCAAGATATTCGAACTAGAAGTTTTTTTTATATTTCTTTTTCTCTGTTCTTCAGGAAGACTAAATTTCTTGAAACAGTTTATGTCACAGAGCGTGTAAAAAATTTTATAGGCTTCTAATCTTAATTTTTTTTGACGTCTATATATTCATTTCTGCTTGCTTTAATTTTGCTCATTTTCATATTTTGTTGCGTCGAACTTCTCTGGATTCTTCTTAAGTGTATCTTTGCAGCTACTCTAGCAAATTACTTTTTGTCAAGATCTCATGCAGTTAGTCATATTCATCAAGTTGAGCCGTAAAGATGATTTTGCACATTAATTTACAAGAAAAATGCTCATTGTATTAGGCTACTCGTTCATGAGGTGTTTTGTTATACAATTCGTACATCGCTTTTATGTTTGTAAGTTCTTTTCTTTTTTACATTTCTCATTTGTTTCTAAACTGTTGTTATTAAGAAAGAATTAAATGAAGCTGACACAGTGGCACTCAAAATTTGTTGGCAAGATTTTTGAACGGTCTTCGTGATCCGCGAATTTTGATTTTTTAAGAGCTCAAGCGTACCATACGTATTTTTATAAAGGTAGGGTTTTTCTTTGCGTTCCGAATGGGGATATAGTTTTTGCGTTTGGTTTTCCTTCCATTATGTTTTTTGACGGCTGGCTAACCAAAAATAATAATTTTTTATGCATGGATGTTTCGGAGGTTCTGAGAAAGAATGAAATGTTTTCTTAGGGTTTTGAAATTTTTATAGTTTTTGGGGCTCCTGGACAGTTACTTGTATGCTTTTTGATGCTACCAAATTCGTCTGTGTCGTAACAGTTGACGCCTTTTTTAAAGGTATTGTAGCTCATGGAATCGGCTTATTAGTAGTTGTCAGAATCTATCCCCATTTATTAACGCTTAAAAGGGTAATTTTGTTTTCAGTTTTTACTTTCCTGCATCATCTTTTCTATGTTGGTCTATTCGATTCGAAAATTGGTTTTAAAGCACTTGACAAGGAATGGCTTTAAGTTTTTTTTTTCTTGCAGAAACGCACAGTCGACATCTCACCTCTTCTTCTTCATTTTAGTTTGTTTCACTTTTCCCCAGCTGATATATTAATGTTTTTATTGCTTTGTTCCCCAAATACAGGGAATATCGTTATAGTCAAAGCACACTAAGCGTTTTTTAATTTCAAAAATTCTAACTTATTGTTAGGAAACTTGTTTTCAGACATAATTATCATTAATATGTTTTAAAAAAACAGTCTTCTGATCTTGGGTTAAGCGTAACGTTGTTTTACGAGGGATTCATTCGAGTCGCTGAAGCCAACGAAGTGTTTAGCAGTTCAGTTTTAGTTTGGTATGCATCACTCAAATACAAATAACTTTATTTGATTTGGTCTGCTAACTCTCAGTAAGTAGATTTTTAATAATTTAATTACAGTTGAACGAGGGAACATCGTTGCACTGAATTAGTGAAGTTTTTTATGGTCATCGCTATGCATTGATTATCATACATTCATCTGTCGATTGAAAGGTAACTGTTAGATAAGCATATTCTGGTCGCTTTGGTTATTTTACTATTTTCTGTAGCTGTATCAAGAAATATAAATATTAATTGACTTCCACTTTTTGAACTTCTAATTTTTAATTTAGTTAGGAGTAACAATCACAAGAATTTGTTTACGCCACTGACACAAGATGTCGAATGGTTTGCCTCTTACTGCGGCCGATGCAAAACGCCTTGTAGAAAATCTGTTGGGTGATCTAAGGACATTGTCGACAGAGGCGAAGAAAAAACAGGTTCAAGTCAAAGAGGTAAAATTTAGATTTTTAACAGCTCTTTACTTTTGTTTTAGTTGTTGCTTTTCTCAGGAATTTGTTTGCTTCAATTGGGTAATATGAGATGTTTTTTTAGGCAGCTGAATCAGGCCTTGTGAAGATTCGTAACATCAACTCGGCATCAAATGAACAAAATCTTGCAAAAAACTTGAGATTAGCAAGTTCGGAACTTATTCAACCTTTAATGATGGGATGTGCCAGTAAAAATTCTCGACTAGTACAGGTTTCACTGCAAGCCGTGCAAAGAATGGTGCAACATGGGATGATTGAACCTGTGATTTTTGTTTTCCGTGTTTTAATTCCTCACTATGTCTGTTTGTCGGAATATGTATTAGGAATCAGCTTTCATTTTATAATACTTTTAATGGTTTTTAGGAGTGGCATCTTTGCACTTTTAAGCGTCCCAGAAGTAGTTCATTTTTGAACAATAATGATTTTGTAAAATACTATCTTGTTTTCTTATTTTTTTCTATAGGCTTCTGCGCCTGCAATTGTTAACGAGCTGTGGCAGCTAATGGAGGCCGAGTGTGAAGAATTAAGAGTTTTACAGACTCTGACATATCTCGTCAGCACAGAATTGCTAGTAACTGGGTCCTGGCTTGCAAAGGTACGATATTTTTGGTTGAGCAGATAGAAGGTGAATATTTTATTGGATATGCCTTGTCGCCAGGAAATAAGTGGGTATTGCAGTGCTTGGTTATGTGCTTTCGTTTAAATTTTGCAAAGGATCCCATCGTTATTAACACAGCTTCGGCTACCGTTCGACAGATGGTTAGCTCTGTGTATGAAAGGATCTTAAAAGTATGTGACTTTATGTGTTTTTTTATCTAAGGTTTCAACGTAAAATTTCCTCTCTTTCACGGCTTGCAAAGGACGGCAAATTGATCTTCTTGGACTGTTTAGTCACTCATATCCTTCATTGAGTACTTGTTTGCGGCACATTTTTTAGGAAGACAGTTCAAAGAACGTTCCTCTACCTAACATGTATTATAGTGCTAAATCCAAGTTGTGGAGTCCTCCATCTACTTTGAAACCTTGTGCGGCAGACGGGTATATGCTGTTTCAGGTCCCTTTTGTTTACCCTATGTGTGCAATATTTAGTATCTAAGCTACAACCGCTTTTTATCTTTTATTTTTTGATTTAGGATCTCTGCCTGTTGATTAATGGTGAAGAACCGCACTGGCTAGGCGGCATACGAGAAATGACTCGTACTTTAGGGTTAGAACTGGTTGAGTCTGTTTTGGCCGGCTATTATCAGCTATTTTTTGAGGTAAATCACTTTTTAAAATTAAGTGTTCAATGTAAAATTTCAAGTATAAAATTGATTTTTCTCTTGCAAATTTGGCTATTTCATCACTGTATCTTCTACTATTATTTGTTCGTAAAATCAGTAGGTTAACTGAGACTTTTGATTTTCTCGCGTATACCTGTTTCATCTTACTCAGTTGATATTCAGCATCCTGAATATTCGCAACTTCTGAAAGATCAAGTTTGTCCACTTATCATTCGACAGTTTGCTCCAAATCAAAAAAACATCCAGGTTCTCGCTTTTAGAGTGACACGCCTTTAAACAATCGATATAGTAAGCTCATAATATCACGCTGTTGACAAGATCTTTTTACTTTGGAAGGTTCAGCTGTTTTTTTTAGGTTATTTCGCAGCATCCTCATTCTTTATCCTCTCGAACTTCAATTGAATCTGCCTCTATCGGACAGTTACCGAGCTCTCCAGAACGCCCTTATTTTCCAATATCAATGAGACTTTTGCGTGTTGTTGTAGTACTTATCACACATTTTTATAGCCTACTTGTGAGTTTCGGGCCTCTTATTTGCGTGATCGTCTTGTAATAACCACTAAATCTTCAATTCTAAGAGTTTTTTCCATAAAAACATTTTTACAAATTGATAGAACTTAATTACGCTTTTATGTGTGCCAAACTTTAGGTCACCGAATGTGAAATTTTCCTCTCTCTATTAGTGAAATTTTTGGAATCCGATAAGCTAGACTGGCAGCGGCCAATAACTCTTGAAGTTTTACACAGAATTATCGTCCAACCGGAGTTGTTGCTGTAATTGCCATCGTTTATCCGTCAAATTTTTAGTTATTCTAGTCGTACATTTTTTTACTGCCTATCCTTATTAGCTAATAATAATAAATTTCAGTTGGTTCTGTAAACAGTATGATTCACGTTCTGGTTCTACAAAGGTAATAAACACAATGATCTCAGTCCTCGCAAACTACATTCAAGCTTCGTTATTAAGACCTAGTTCCTCCAATACAGGTATCATTTTAACCACATTTTTGAAATAAAAATATCTTTCTCTTCCCGCTTATTGCTTTAACAAATTTTTTTCAGTAATGAAAGATGAGGAACAGTTTGAAGTTGGGAATCAGTTGGTTGGTCAAACCGGGTTTCTTTACAGGAGGATTTGGATTCCTTTAGATCAGACCATTTCACCAAAAAAATCGATTTTGTACGAGTTTCAGTGATTTTAGATAACTTTTCATGGAGTTTTAATCTTTACAAAAGCTTCTGAGTTGTAAGTTCAAAGCATATCTTCTTCATTGTCTTTTTATTTACTTGAATTATAGCACAATTCAAGCATTTCAGACTTGATTCTTTGGACAAACATGATGCTATTGTTTTGCCAGAAGGATATTCTCTTTCACTGGCGTATTACTGTATAATCAATGGCTGTCAGTGTCTTTACCAGGCGTATGAGTTAGTGAACCAAGAACACCAGCCAATAGGTCTTTTATTTTTATTTGATTGACTCGAAACTTTTTCTGAACAATTAACTCATTAAACAGTTAAAGCTGACTATATTATTTACTGCTTCTTTCTTTTTGACCTTCTAAGGTCCTCACAGTTGATTTTTCTTTTGTTGTGCTTTTTATCTTACCTGGTCACAACTTAAATTTTCACTATATACGTTAGACTTCCAACCTCTTTTGAATAGTGATATTTTTTGTAGTTTTCTGGTTTTTAAAGTTTATTCGTGGTCGTTTGCAGAGAACGCGAAAGAATTATTCCATGCGTGTTACGCTGGTTTACTTCCTGCTATTTCATTGTTGGTGGAAGCGAGGTTCTATTTTTATATTAGTTTCCTTGAAACAGTATTTGCTTTCTTTTCTTACTTCAGTAATTTGTTTCTTAAATTAACGATTTTTTTTCTGAGAACCTTCCTATGTTTAGCAATGATGAAACCGTGAGCGACCAATTAGTTAAATGCTTTGATATTATTGCAACCTTGGCTTGTCGTCTAAATCACAATGCTGGTAGAGATGCTAGTATAGTTGCTCTCTGTAAATTGGCTTTACCTGTTGGGTACTTTGCCAAAGTGCTCAGTAACGTTAGCGGAACAAATATTTCGAATGGCTCTCCTGGCAGTTCAGAAAAGTGTCCTGCAGCGTGTGAGTGACTAGATTTGTATTATGTTCGTTTCAATTTTTTTTAATTCAAATCAGTTATTAAAAATTCAAAGATTATAATTAATAGTTTGGAGATGAACTGTTAGAAAGTAAAAGTGGGATTTTTACAACACCCTTTGTGGAATGTTTGGAAGAATTCGTAGTTAGATTCAGTTGTTCGAGTCATAAGGCCTCCGTTAGAAATTATCTTTGTACATACACGAGAGCTATCTCTTGGAGACCTTTCTTCAGGTCTTGAAATAGATTCGTCTACTAGCGGTCAGCCTTGTCAAGTTGTAGCTGTTGGAACGGTGTGCCCAACTCCATCGTTGCCAGCCAACGCTTACAACGCTCAAGTCATGGTACATCACTTTCTTTTATTATTTGATATTTTATTTTGAATGACAATGACTGGCTGCCACATTTTTTTAGTTTGTTATATATTAGTTAGGTTAACGTCTAACTCATTTGTCTGCTTCAGTTGACTGCGAAAAATCTGCAAGTTATACGTACCATAATTATATGTGCTGAAAAAAATGGACAGCAACTCAACGATTGTTGGCATCTAGTTTTAACCACTCTACAGCATGTGGTATGGATATTAGGGATGAAACCAAACTTATTAGAAGGTTTTCGAAGTGATGGTGTGTTTTCTGAGTCTCTGATCTTTATAATCTTTTTTTGCTTCTACGATTGGAAGCCTGTCTTTAATGTGCTATATTGAATTCAGGCGATGGAGCAGATGGTGCATCTGCGAATGTTAATTCCACTTTGATGAATTCTTCTGTAGTTACAACTGCTATTCTCGCCGACGTCAGCATCTTAGTAGGAAATAAAACTATTTAGATATTATTTGCGGCTGTCTTTTTTTATCATTGAGGATTCATTGTAATTTCGAGATTCTTTCATCTTCTCTTTCGCCTTGTTTTTTAGTTTTTTTGAATCACTGTCTTCAGGCAAAGATGCTTAACAATTTATTCGAATCCACTTCCAAACTCGACGATGTCGCTCTTCATCATGTTATTGCTGCTTTATGCAAGTTGTCGTCTGAAGCAATGATCGTATGTTTTTCGAAAAGAGTGTAGTTTTTATATGGTCATATAAAATCTATAAATTTGTCGATTGGTAGGGCTATTTGTTTTCAAAAATTTACTTTTAAGAACAATCGTTTTTCATCTGCTTTTGAAAATTTTGGGTCTTTAAGGTTTAAACTTTTTTTGAACTAGGTCTCAGAAAGTGGAAGTCGAGAACCTTCTTACTTTCCCGTAGCGAAATTACAGCAGACTGGAATGGTCAATCTTTCAAGAATTGCTGTTTTTTGGAAACCTGTTACCGCTCACCTGATTGACGTTAGCTATATTTTTTTCGTATTTGACAGGGACTCAAATCTTTTACTAAAAAGTGAAAAAACTTCTGAGTAGAATTTTTTTTTATAGGTTTCTGGACATCCTAACTCTAATTTTCGTGAGTGGGGTGCTCAAGCACTTACTGTTCTAGTAAAAAGTGCGATGAAGTCTGCAGTGTATGGTGATAGCGTGGCTGTGAGTTCTTTTATTGTAAATAGCGACAGATAGGATTAGTACTTCAAACTATTGTGTAAATATTATTTCGCGGAAGCTCTGTTATCTGTTGACTTAAGTATTTCTACTTTGAAATAAGATTTTGGACAGACGGTTACTTATTATTCAGTTAGGATACGATTGGTTTACATCTGACACCGATGAGTAAAATGCAACGGTTCGACTCCTAGGTTTTTCCTTTGTTAAATTTCAAATACTACGAAGTGAGATGGAAACAAATTTTTAACAAGGAATGAGATTTTTAGTCTCACATTCCTTTTTGCAGTTTAATTTTCTGTTAATTATTATTATTATAGAAAAGGCAACAACTGATTTTGGCGCCGCTCTTATCGATGTGTGAAATCGAGTACCCAGATGTCCGTCGGAAGCAAATGGAATGTTTAATGAATTTGCTGCAGTCATCTGGTCAGCAGTTTGCTTCTGAACAATGGCCTACGGTTATTGAAATTCTAGCCTCTATTGTAAGCACACGATTTGTGTAAGTTGTAAATTTTTTAATTTATATTTGGCTTTTTGGAAATTTTTTTAATCTTATCTAACAAAAACATTTAGAAAATCTAAAAGGAGTCAATTACTGCTGTTTTTTCTTGTGGGAGGACGGGTGGGAAAAACTTTTATTTTCTGACTCTGAAGATAAATTTTTGTGGAAGTATAGGCAATTTTTAATGAAGTTGAGATTTTTTCGTAACAAAAAAAA